CGGTTATAATAGTTTTTTGCAATTCCCCAAATAAGTTCAATCGGGTTAAAAGTAGAGTGGTATGGAGGTTGTCGTAAAACTTTATGTCCATACTGTTCTGCCAAGTCATCAACCACATACTTTTTTGTTGGTTTATTCCTGAAAAAGCAATACTTGAGAAGTTGAGCATAGAATGCAAACAATTTTGGTATTGTAGGTACCTACTTACCGTGCATCAATGGCCACAAGTTCAGATTTCAATGCTGTATTTGGATACTCAACTTTCTGCTCGGTTAACCAATTTTGAATTTCAGCCTTGGTAGACGAACTATTAGCTGTCTTCCTTAATAACATGCTGTGGTAAGATGCATTGTCTATAACAATGACAGATGGTTCACTTAAGTTCTTCAACAGCTGATTTTCGAACCAACGTAAAAAGTTTTGCTGATTCATTTCTCCATGATAGTCATGAAGTTGAGTTCTCGATGAAAATACAAGCGATGCACCTTTAATGAATCCATTTTCAGTGCCAGCATGAAGTATGATATATCTAAAAAAAGCATTTCTTTGTACATATAATACAACTGCTCTCTGTATTCATGTTTATATTCACCTTCTACCATCAACTTCGGTAGTTTTGACACTTCGCTTGTTGTTGTATTGCCACGAATGGTTAATAGTACCATTTTGAAAAATCCAAGTCTCGTCCAAGAAAACAAACTGGTACAAAGCCACCTGTTTCAATCTTAGATAAGACCTCAAAAATGATATGCGTTTAACAGAAATATCAAGAAGTTCCATGAGCCCTCGTCTTGGTTCATCTTTTTTCCATTTGAAGCCTATTTCTTCTAACATTCTACTCAGACATGCGACTGCCATCAAATAATTGTTTGGCTTTCAATTGCTCCCATATACAGGATAATGTTACATGTTGTCCTACAAGAAGAAAGAAGGCGATTCATAGATATCTATGTACCTTTATCTCAAACGATTTACTTTTTGTATACATATCGTAAATAGTGTTACGTATTGTTCGTCGATTTTTAACTGATACTTGCGGTATGAGGAGCGAGAGGGTGTTTCATATGGCAAAAACAGGTGTGACATCAGGTAACCATTGGCGTTCTAATGTAGGGAGCCACCAGCTCACATTCCGTCCGAGTATCAGATTAAAATCGACGGACAATATAGCACTGCTATCGAGCTTTGAAAAATCACAGACTCTCTTCGAAGTGCATCGTTTCTTAGAAGGCGATTCCAAAACTTCGTTATTTTTAACTGCCTTTGAAATAGCACAGACAGTGAACATACTTAAGTTCAAAGCTTCTGCTTCGCGCTAAAAATGAGAGAAAATGAAGTTCAAATTGAAAATTCCTATTTGGTCACACGACACGACATCAACGACTTGTAAACTCACCTTCCTAACAGCATTTAAGGAACATAAAGGGCCATTATTATCGCGTTCTCGTTCGAAATATTGTAACATAGATGCGATTAGTTCTTTGCAACGGCTGAAGCTGCTTCGGCATCTTGTACACTTCGCACTACAAGCTGCTTTTAAAAATTAAGGTCACAATTAATACCACAAACCAAAAATTCGTAAACTGCCAAAACACAATCAAAATTCAAAATGTTAAGAATTTAATTTGGCAACGTTACATTTTTTGAAGTGGTGTTACCAACTAAATGGCCAGCGGGAAATTCAAATTCCAATTAAGTCAATCCGACGCCGAATATTTTCACGGTTGGTCATAACGATTTTAAAAATGACGTTATCGATGTCACAACAACAAGTTTATTTGGTATGAACTATATAGTCTGGCTAGCGAAACGGCGAACTGCAAAAGAATTTGCTAATTTGCCAAACTTGACGGAAATAATGATAAACAAGTTGGTGACATTTTTTTTTTGCTATATGGGCATGTGTAGTATTTTGAAATAGAAAAAAATCCGGCAACATTGCAAAATGATAGATGTGGAGAGGCGTGATTATTCAGAGGTATGATTCTATTGGTTAGAGTCTGAACGACAGCAGGCAGTGGCGTGGTTATTGGCGAAACTAAAGAATTTTTTTTTCTAATAATTTTATTGGTGTTTCCGGTGCCACTGAACCGAAAGACATGGCTGTCATCAGGTGGTGTCAGTTGAGTGTCAGTGAATATTTTTAGGTCACGCCCCACTTTTCTTCCCCCTTTCGTCTCTACCAAGTTACCACTTGCCAGACTATACTTTATAAATCATGGCCGCGTTCACCAGAACAAACGTTGGTAAACGTTGTTCTGCTGAACGCTACGTTGAACTTATGTTGAAACCAAACATGTTTTGCAAACGGTCGCCATTTTTGCAAGCATAATTTGAGAGTGTTTTTAATTTTCAACACTGTGTTTTGTGTGATGACTTGTCATTCAGCAGGCCCTGCGATCTCTCATTGCCAGTTATAAACTACATAATAACTCTTTTCCGTTTTTCTAGATGTCGCTAACACCCACAGAATTGTTAAAATTGGAAAATACCAGCACATCAAGAACATGTCCGATGTCGATAACTGACATGTCAACATATGACAATATGCCAAAATATTCATTTGATCATAATGTTTTTTGTTCGCCGGTCTTGCATTTCATCTTTCTTTGTGTTGTCAAGTGTTCTTAAGTGATTTCAAAGTTGTTTTGTGTGTTTCAAGAAGAATTTCAAACTTTATAGATTGGAAGATCTAATTTTATCTTTGTTGATTAGATAAATGACAGGTTCAATTAAACATCAATCAGAACTTTGAATAAATATGTTAAGGATCCCTTAACCATCGATAAAGAAACTGTCTTTTGATCTAATTAACAAATTATCAATTAATTTAAGCAAACATTAATGCCCCAAAGTCTAGAATAAACGAATTTGAACAGACCGACAGTAATGCGAACGGGGCGCCATCTATCATAAAAAGTCCTATGTAAAGTAGGTGTCTGTAGCATCGATGCAAAACCAGTAAATAGTGATTTTCCGATGTGGTAGATGGCGCTGGCTTGGCTCAATTTTGTTGACAACAAAATTTACACTGAGATTCCATTCTCGACAGTTTATATAGTATTTATCTCTGTCATTCAGAAAGTGACGTTCTATCATTGAAAAGTTGAATCGTTCAGCAGAACCAAGAGTTTACCCAACATATTCTGTTGGCATTTGTAAACTGTTTACAATCCGTTTTGGTTCTGGTGAACGTAGAACGGGGCGCCATCTATCATAAAAAGTCCTATGTAAAGTAGGTGTCTGTAGCATCGATGCAAAACCAGTAAATAGTGATTTTCCGATGTGGTAGATGGCGCTGGCTTGGCTCAATTTTGTTGACAACAAATTTACACTGAGATTCCATTCTCGACAGTTTATATAGTGTTTATCTCTGTCATTCAGAAAGTGACGTTCTATCATTGAAAAGTTGAATCGTTCAGCAGAACCAAGAGTTTACCCAACATATTCTGTTGGCATTTGTAAACTGTTTACAAACCGTTTTGGTTCTGGTGAACGTAGCCATGTCAGTTAATGTAAATGTTGTAACGTGTTTAAGACTGTCAAACTTTTCTTGTCTTGTGTTTGTTCAGTTTGAATTATTGGATATTGTATTAATTTTAAGTATCAATTATAAGACATTCCTTTTTGCTTTGTCAATGAGATTGTGAAATTTTTGGGCAATAAAGCTTATTTGAAATTGAAATTGAACACCATTCCGACCGAACAAACTGATTTATCTGCAAAAGCATTGATACAAACCAGCACAACTTAGTCCTCGGGACACCATAATGACCCAACTTCTGCAGCAGTATTCCATGGTTAACTGTACCAAAACTCAAAAGCCTTTGAAAAATCACAAAACACTGTCCCTGCAACCTCCCTCTCATTCAAACCCAGGTGCAAACTGATTTTGACTGAGGATTCAAGCAGTTGTTCCTTAACAATTTTTACCATGATCTTGGAAAGGGAGGGTGCTCAATAGAAGGTACCAGTACTTCAAACGCAATGTCCGGTAGGTTCTTCAATATCTTTACAGAAATTCTGTTGTGTTTTGTATTCTATCTCAGATAGGTATTGTGTGTGTTTGAGTAAAAATGTCTTTTCTGTGTTGATTGTTCCCTTTAAGATTGTTAGGTATTGTCAGTGCAATTTTACATGATTTATGTAACGATTGACAAATAAGGCCAATTTTCACCAACTTCCACTATATGCCAGAAAAATACCACTGTTTAGAATAGGTATGAATGAAGTTTTAGAATATACATGGGAAACAAAGTTTGTTTCCAAATGTTCAAGTTACAGAATGTTCACATTATGGAAACTCTATACTGTACTTAGCTCTAGGATGAGATAAGGTTCATTCTCTCAGAGTTATGGAGATAACTCGGGAGATAATTATTAAGCATTCATGTTCTTGTAATTATGTATCTACTACACTCAACAACCTAAAAACATAGGTAAATAGCGAGGTAGGTACGTCGCCCAAAGTAGGTACCAGTCTACGAAAAATTCTCTCCGGCCCTGCTTCCCCAATTGGGAGCCAAAAAAAAATGTATTCAGATTCCTCTGGCACTTTGAAGCTTGATGGAGTTTTGGAATTACATTTATCAAATAAAAACATCTTTAGCTTTTGAATCACAGCTTATCAAACCTATAGCCTATTTTACACACATCTCATCAAAAACTACTTTTTTTTTTAAATCTCAAATTTCAGCTACTTATATCAAAATAAGCTAATTTAGTGTTAAATGAAAATTAATTATTAAATTGTAAAAATCGTATCAGTATGTTAGTAACTTGGTTAGTATGATAAACTTCTAAATTATGCTAATTGTAATAGGTATCAACTGAAAAATAAACAGTCCACCATAATTTGATTTAGAGTCATTGCAAATATGTGAGTGGTATTATGTATTTGGCTACCTTGAAACTTAATATACACGTCTTGTTTTGATATAAGCATGTTATGAAAAATATGTTTTTGGCAAATAATCTTTAACATAATTTTTTTTATCTAGATGTGCCAGCTAGTGAACAAGAAGAGCTATTTATTCGTAAGTTAAGGCAATGCTGCGTGGCCTTCGACTTTATGGATCCAGTAATTGACTTAAAAGGCAAGGAAGTGAAACGGTGTTCCCTGAACGAGCTAGTTGACTATATTACAGCCGGACGGGGGGTTCTTACTGAACCTGTTTATCCCGAAATTATTAAAATGGCAAGAATTATTATCCGTGTATTTATAAAAAGCTTTTAAAATAAAATATGTTTCAGATATCAGCAAACCTCTTTAGGACATTGCCACCAAGTGAAAATCCGGATTTCGATCCGGAAGAGGACGATCCTACATTGGAGGCCAGTTGGCCACATTTACAGCTAGTCTATGAGTTTTTTTTGAGGTAACGATTTTAATTATTCCACACAGCACTGTTTGTAAAATAATATTTCCCGTTTAGATTCCTGGAAAGTTCAGATTTTCAGCCCACTATAGGCAAACGTGTCATCGATCAAAAATTCGTGTTGCAGCTGTTGGAATTGTTTGACTCAGAGGACCCACGCGAACGTGATTTTCTTAAAACAGTGTTGCATCGTATTTACGGCAAATTTTTGGGGTTACGCGCGTTCATACGCAAGCAGATCAACAATATTTTTCTTAGGTAATAATAATTATTATTTATCCAGCTGTTTGTGTACAAGCAAATCAAATTTAGGTTTGTGTATGAGACTGAACATTTCAATGGTGTGGGCGAACTGCTCGAAATTCTCGGTTCGATCATCAACGGGTTTGCATTGCCGCTCAAGCAAGAACACAAACAATTCCTGGTCAAGGTGCTCATCCCTTTGCACAAGGTTAAGTGCCTGTCATTGTACCATGCCCAACTAGCCTACTGTGTCGTGCAGTTCCTTGAGAAAGACCCCACGTTAACAGAACCTGTTGTCAGGGGTCTACTTAAGTACTGGCCCAGAACCTGCAGTCAAAAGGAGGTAAGAATAATTTAATGTTTGACGTTCGACTATTGATACAAATTGTAAAGTTGTTTATAGCGATGGAAATACTAGCCTAATATTCAGTTTTTGCTTAACACAGTGATTATGCATCTATTTGTAGAAAGTCTGTTTGCATGAGAATTAATTGTTAACTTTATACAAAAGATCAATAACTCCGATACCTCGGACTACACCCAAATCAAAAACCAGTATAAAATGTTCTATTATTAGACAAATGTTTACAAGCATTCTTATGTATGTGTAGAGGAGCTTAACTTAATAATTGTTTTTTGGTACTATAGTCAATAAATTAAATGAATGAGTAGTTACGTCATCTAAACTACAGTCTATTCGAATATTTCACTTAAATTTATCACAAGCCAATTGGGATTTTCTAACAGGTCTTCTAAAAAACTAAATCAAAGAGTGTTTTGATTACAAAAACATTCGTCGTTCCGGTTTCCATAAATTAATGTCACAGTGACACATTATTGTTACTTTATTTCTCAGAAGATTTTTGCTTGAGAAAGTGACGTTTTTGATAGAAGTAAAAGCATAATAGTGAATAGTTCAAAAAATCATCCATCTTTGATTTAGGTTTTTTTTTTTTTTTTGATGATCTTTCATATGCTGGTCAGGACATTACGCATCAACTTGGGCTTGGAAGGTTGACAGACCGACCCCCCGTATATAATTATTTTTTTACTACTAACCTGAGAAATAGACATTATTCAATCTATTTTTCGAAGAAAAAATTGAATTTCTCTCCCTAGGTTAATAATGAAAATAATGAAAAAATATCTAGGTCAATAATGAAAATGACGTCATGACGCAAGGATATTGTCATGTTTCTATTGGTTCAATTTCAATTTCATACGTCAATTTGAAAAAAAAATACAGGTTTCTGTAGGTAAATAGGAAGTTATATAAGCTGTTGATAGAGGGCAGCACTTTCAAGAGGGCGTTCACAAAAAATAATTAGAACACAGATTTTAAACAATTTTTTTATTTTCTACTAGCAGTAGTAAAAAAAAATTTATATATTCCTCGGTAGAGAAAGTCATTATATACCTCAAGCATTATAAACCTCGGCGCAGCGCGCCTCGGTTTATAAAAGCTCTCGGTATATAATGACCAACTTCTCTACCTAGGTATATAATATACTATTTCAATTACATTTTGTCAATTTGAAAAGCAAAAGTGCCATGTTCTTAGAAATACTGCCTACTTACCACCTTAACTTACATGTATTTACCCAAAAAAAGCTAGCTAGGTTTTAAATTTTCCGAATATGTATAATAAGATTTTTGATAATCAGTCCTATGAATAGGATGCTTTTACTGCACCTCCGTCTCGTTTTGCTGCATTTAAGCTGAATATGTTTATCTCAGAAAACTTGAGTAGAAGCATTCGCTTCTGTTTTAGGCATATGAGCCAATCAAACAAAAATGTATTAGTAACTCTACTATAATTCATGTATTGAAAACATCTAAAACTTAACAACATTGATAAAGCTGTATTATCAATGAACAATATGCAATTTAAAAACCAAGTGTTGAGTCTCTATCGGGTCCTTTGCTCTTTGCATCCCAGTTTTCATCTTACACATACCGATATTTTTTTTTTTTGTGTATGCAGTATTTGTGGTCCTTTTTCTCTGTTGAGGGTTTTCCTCTATCATTCAGTTTAAAATATATTTTGTTGCTCTAGAAAGCAGAAGACAGCATTACTAGTACTTTTGGGTGACTGAAATCCAAACTGGCCATTTTTTTTGTCCAGTTTTGTAAAATGAGTTTATCACAATGTCTAAAAGTTTTTTTCAACATTTCTGTTGTATATTTTGTTGAGGCCTCTCGCAACCCTATCCTTGGACAGTGGTTGCAAGTTTATGGTATTGTTGTGAAATTTCTTTAACAACCCCCATGCCATTTCAATGGGATTATTGACAATGGTAGGGAGGCAATCAAATGAAGCGTTTTCTTTCTGAATATACCGGGTGCCCACGAGATTACTTTCTGGCTGCCATTTTTTTATTTGTTCATCGATGTCAACGAAACTTGGTAGGCTTGATATTCTAACGAAACGTGATTTTTGTGTATTCACGACAAGTTTTTCTGACTTCCGGTTTCACCGGAAATTACCGAAACTTTCGATTTTCAAATGGCACACCCTGTATATTTTTTGTTTTTTGGATTCTACAGATCGTTTTACGTCCTAATGTACCACTTTTAAATCGAGTTTTGTCCAAATTTTGTTTTCAAATTATATTTTAAGTAGAAAAGAAAATAACCTATACCTACATAATAAAACAAAATTATTTAAACGAAAATTGAGAAAAATGTCATAGTGTATTATATCGTTGGATTCGCTTCAAAATACTGCATTTAGTAATGTTATGAAAGTGATATGTTCCTATTCTAGTTTTTGAGCTAGGGCAAAAATACTAAAATAATGAAGTTTAGAGCCCTCTATCAAAAAAATTTACAAAGATAAAATTGAGTTGGTATTTTTCTGAAATTAAGTAAAGTATGTAGAGTCATTTTGGGATGATCATGGCACTCTAGTTAAAAAATTAAAATTTAATTTAAAAACAAAATTTGGACAAAACTTGATTCAAAAGTGGTGCATTAGGACGTAAAACGATCTGTAAAATCCGAAAAACAGAAAATATACAGGGTGTGCCATTTAAAAATCAAAAGTTCCGGTTATTTCCGGTGAAACCAGCAGTCAGGAAAACTTGTCATAAATGTATAAAAATGGCGTTTGGTTAGAATATCAACCCTACCAAGTTTCGTTGATATCGATAGACAAATAAAAAAATGGCAGCCGGAAAGTGATCTCGTGGGCACCCAGTATGTATTTTGAATAGGTTGTTTTTAATGTCAGATTCATGTAATCGACGAACCTCTGGAATCCATTTTGATGGAATCCAAGTTTCATCAAGAAATACGAATCTGATATTTTCCCCTGAATTTTATTATTGCAAATGCATATTCACTTGAAAACCCAATCCCAATTTCGTGTTTCGGAATTTTCGAAATTTCTGAACGGCATTTTGGTGAGCAATAAATTGCGTAACTTTGCCCAAATTTAACCAAACCTGTATCTCCTATGGTTACCGAGATCTCCATACTTACTCGCGAATTTGTAGCACCCTGTATATCCATATGCATCCCAAGTATTTGAACTTTTTTACCCTTTCGATTATCTTAACTTATTTTAACAATATAGTTTACTAAATTAATTATAGTATTGTGTCTGTCCTGTTTCTTATCGAGATGGGGAAAATTCAGGAACCAATCTAATAAACAAGTTTACCTTATACCTTCCTCAAGTTTTAAACGTAATATATTATTTATTGTATCTTCAAGGGTGTATTGGCTAATTTTTTTTATTATTTCCAGGTTATGTTTTTGGGCGAAATAGAGGAAGTTTTGGATGTGATTGAGCCTTCACAATTCACGCGCATCCAGGAACCTTTATTTAGGCAAATATCCCGATGTGTTTCAAGTCCTCATTTCCAGGTTAGATCATCATAATAATTTTTTTTTTTTTTTTTTAAATGTGATTCAACCTGTTTAGGTAGCAGAGCGGGCTCTATACTTTTGGAACAACGAGTACATCATGTCGCTAATGGAAGAAAACAATCACGTGATCATGCCAATAATGTTCCCGGCTCTGTATCGTATCTCAAAGGAGCACTGGAACCAGACAATTGTCGCTCTGGTTTATAATGTGCTCAAGACTTTTATGGAGATGAATTCGAAATTGTTTGACGAGTTGACTGTGAGCTACAAGGCTGAGAGACAAAAGTAAGTAAATGATTCGCGTCGATTGACAATTTAATAGAAATCTTGAGCATGTTTGATGACGCATTCAAATCTTGCCTGATGTGCGTCATTAGTGCTTAGAGATAGTTATATATTTCGAAACAAGAATAGTTATGATGAGTAACAAATTATATAAACTCCGTCACTTTCAATTTTCCCGCTCCCTGGATTTCAAATTTTGCAAATTCACAGTCTCGACAGTGGACTGACCAGTAGGAGTGATCTCCGCAATTCGCATCTATACTCCTGCTTTCGAGCAAAAGTAAAATTTCGCCCAACTTTCAAGCTCGATATTTCTGGAGCCAAAATATTGAACTCTGGTTTCCATATACAATTTTTTTCACAAAAAGTCAATGTGTCAGCCCATGAAAACCAGACGCCTGGTTTCAAGAATATTGAGCTTGAAAGTTAGGCCAAAAAATTTCCTTGCTCGGAAGCAAGTTGTCCAGTAGTTTATATGAACTATACGTTATTGTGATGGAATATCCAATTGGTAATAAATTGTAACTTTAGAAACAACAAAGTATCGCAGCTGGATATGCTACTTGTCAATGACAAAAATTCCATATTTAACATACAATATCATCCTCCAATAGAACGCAGTGAGCATGTCGTGATAACAGCAAAAACCCAGATCCAACTGGTTTCAAAACCAATGAAAAAAGTTTACCAACGAAAGCTACTCAGACTAAATGGTTGCAGCAGCGCTGACAAATCTAAAACTATTGAGTTACATATACCACTAAAATCCAAACTGGTCAACCCAAAAAAACCTTGGGTTAACAAAGAAGTTTTGAATCATATCAACAAAAAAAGGCAACTGGGATAAATGTAATTTTTGTATCTGGTCAATAAAAAGACTAGAATAAGCAAGTAGGACAAAGAAAATGACATAAGAAACTTATAGTCCAAGAGCCGGCAATACTAACGGGTATGTGATTGTTGCAATGGATAATTTCTACATAACACAATAGTTCTTAGTAACCTTTAAACCAAATGGATGGGTTGCCTTGATTTTCATGGCCGTAAAGTTGTTTTATAAAAAGATACTTTTATAAATAGAACAAAACCATAAGCGCAACATATAAGAAGTACCTTGCAGTGTAGGGGGTACTCATCATATGCGGCAAACACTTTTTTAACAGAATTTCATGTTTCTTTTTTTGTCTAAAGACTTACAGCCGTATGCAAAATCCTCTTCACAGAATCCTCTTTTAACTTTGAAAGCTGTCACTTTCAAAAAATTGTATTCAGCAAGCAAAATAACGCGCTCGCTCGACTTTCAATGAGGGTTGCCATTATTTCCGGCTATCAAAATCGAGGCAACCCTATACAGGGTGTCCCACGGTGGATGGCGTATTAGACGTTTATGGAGAACTAAAAAGCGGATCATTTTGAAAATTTGGCAACCGGGATAAACGACCATAATCAACACTTTAAAAATATTTTTGTTTATGCGGTGTTGCCGCTTCTACCCTAAACCAGTGGCAACAGCGCTATTTAAATGGAACACCCTGTATCTGATTACATATTTGGATTTTACGTAAAATTCTGAGCAGATTTCATGTGATATACCCTATACCTAAGTTCAACTGTTTTGGAATTATTGACAGTTGAAAATCGACTTTTTGCAACTTTGACAGGCTGTAAAACCTGAACGGTTAATTTTAGAGAAAAACCGATTTTACATTCCTATCTTAGATTCTTATAATTCATCATTTGATACCAACTTCAAATTTAATCCATGATTAAAAATTCCAATTAAATTTAATCTCCGGGTAAATTCAAAGTTGGTGTCAAATGATAGTTCATGAAAATGTAAGATAGGAATGTGAAATTGTGTTTTCTCATAATCTCTCTGTTTTTCTCTTAAATTAACCGTTCAGGTTTTACAGCCTGTCAAAGTTGCAAAAAGTAAATTTTCAACTGTCAATAATTGCAAAACAATTGAACTTAGGTATAGGGTATATCACATGAAATCTGCTCAGAATTTTACGTAGAATCAAAATATGTAATCACATACAGGGTATTCCATTTAAAATGTTGTTGCTGTTGCCACTGGTTTAGAGTAGAAGCGGCAACACCGCATAAACAAAAATATTTTTAAAGTGTAGATCATGGCTGTTTACCCCGGTTGCCGAATTTTCAAAATGATCCGCTTTTTAGTTCTCCATAAACGTCTAATACGCCATCTACCGTGGGACACCCTGTATATTATTTGAGAAGACATGTTAAAGAATATATCTACCAATTTTCAGCTATTGCAACGATAACATTATTCCTCCGAAAAAAGAGGGGTAGTTTATGCCCAGCCACCAAAGGGTTGCGGCCATGAGAATCAAGGCAACCCATCATCCATTTAGTTTAAAGGTAACTATGAGCTATTCTTTTATGTGAAAATTATCCATTGCAACGATCACATACCCGTTAATATTGCCGGCTCTCCTACTATTAGCTTTTAAGAAAAAGACAGAAATAAAGTGGGATAAATTAAATAGTGATGCAAACTTTGATTATTCCCGGCGCTTGAGAGTTTGTATGTAATTTTTGTATCTGGCAATAAAAAGCCTAAACTAGGCAAGTAGGGCAAAGAAAACGACATAAGAAACTTAATGGTTAAGAAAAAGATAGAGATAAAGCGGGATAGATTGAATAGTGACGCAAACTTTGATTATTTCTGGCGCATGAGTGGCCAAGAGCTTGGAGTAATAAAGAGATAGCAATATAAGAAATTCCATAAATAAGAAAAAAAAACAGAAATAAATTGGGATAAGAGAAAATACGACACGAATTTTAATTATTCCCGGCGCTTGAGTGAGCTTGTATGAAATTTTTGTATCTGGCAAATAGAAAGCCTAAAATAGGCAAGTAGGACAAAGGAAACAACATAAGAACCTTAATGGTTAAGAAAAAGACAGAGATAAAGTAGGATATATTAGATAGTGAGGTAAATTTTGATTATTCCCAGCGCTTGAGTGGCCAAGAGCTTGGAATAATAAAGACAGCAATATAAGAAATTCAATAAATAAGAAAGAAACAGAATTAGAGTGGGATAAGAAAAAATGTGACACGAATTTTAATTATTCCTGGCGCTTGAATGAGTTTGTATGTAATTTTTGTATCTGGCCAATAAAAAGCCTAAAATAGGCAAGTAGGACAAAGAAAACTACATAAGAAACTTAATGGTTAAGAAAAAGACAGAGATAAAGTGGGATAGATTGAATAGTGACGCAAATTTTGATTATTCCCGGCGCTCGAGTGGCCAAGAGCTTGGAATAATATAGAGATAGCAATACATATAAGAAATTCCATAAATAAGAAAGAAACAGAAATAGAGTGGAATAAGAGAAAATATGACACGAATTCTCTTGCTGCGCTCCATAACAGAGATAAATAGGATACTTTTCACTCCAGAAAAAGTACTAGAGGCCATTTTGTCGTTAAAATCAGAATCCAGCCCTGTCCCTGACAAAATGCCATCCTTTTTTTATAAATTTTCAACAATATTCTGCAGTCCCATAGCCACTATTTTAAAGACCATAATGAATGGGCTCCCTCTATTGCAGAAAAATAGAATACCACAATTGTGGTCCCAATCTTCAAGAAAGTAGACAAACTCCAGCCATCTAATTACAGACCAATCAGTATCACCAGTGTGATCTATAAATGTATGGAAAAAATCATAGTAAAGGAACTAACACCTTTTATACTAGAACACCACACGGTTTTCTGCCAGGGTCCTACTTGAAACAGGGGAGCAGTGTTCCCAGGAAAACGAGTGTTCCGTCTTTTTCATTTATATGCAAATGATAATATAAGTAACAAAGACACTCGTTCTCCTGGGAACGATGCTCCCATGCTTCAAGAATAAGGACCCAGGACAGTCCACCTTCATTAACCTACTGTAGATGTTTAACAAGTGGACTCGAATGGACGATAATAACATTGCAATGGATGTTGTGTACATAGATTTTGAAAAAGCATTTGACAAGGTCCCTTACCAGCGATTGCGACTGAAATAAGACCACAACGGATCAAGAGGCAACCTCTTTAGAGTAATCAGTGATCTTCTCCAAGGTAGAACTTTCCAAGTAAGAGTAGAAAGTGTTCTTTCTAACAGCTGTGTAGTATCGAGTGGAGTGCCATAAGGGTCGATGATTGCATCCCTGCTATTTATACATAAGTGACCTGACAAAAATCCTTGCTTGTGTGTCTGCATTTTCTCCTGATGACACAAATTCAACATGCATGGCAAATGACGAATAGCTACAAATGCAAAATGATCTCTATAAAATAGAGGAATGGACAGAAATTTGGCACATGCCACTAAATGAAACAAAGTGGTTGGAAGAACAAATCCTTATCACAAATACAATACAACATATGAGAAACCGAGTTGACCTCAGTCGAGAAGCAAAAAGACCTCAGAACACTTGTGACCAAAGACTTCAAATGGGAATGCCACATCTTCACAAAAAGTGAACATAAATAAATAAATAAATACCTAAATAAAAATTAAAAGATGTTTATTGTGTGAAGAAAATCAGAAAATACATTCAACACAAAAGGTACTGCTAAGCATATTTTCATACACACCTGAGACTGTTCGTAATTAAAAAAAAAATTAATTATCATGCAATAAAATCTACACTTAAAGTCCCATGATTCAAATCAACAATAAATCTTTGCAAAGATTTCTTATAGACCCTACTTTTTGTATTTCCTTTTGGTAATCATGTTGTAAATATGTGGGCCCCAAGTAAGAGGAATAAGATTTAAAAAATTCAGTATGATGTAATGGTATTTCAAGAGTGTCTGTGTTCCTTGTTGACCTGGTATGAATGTCACCAAGTCTCACCAATAGTTCGGAGAGATATTCTGGGCAATTGTTCTTAATAATATTTTCTATCAAAACAGCAAAATGTAAAAATCTTCTTTCTTTCATCTTGAGTATTTCACTGTTCGTAATGTAAGGAGTAACA